ATTCTAGTAAGCAATTTCTTTAAATCATTTTGATAGGTTTCAATTATTTTTCTTTCATAATCAAGAGTAAGATGTAAGCTGGTATTATTAATGGGTCAATAAATAAGGAATGGAAGCAACAGAGAGGTCATTTAAAGATCTGGTGACTGAAAGTGAGGCTGTGAGGAGAAAAAAAAAAAATGGTGAAACCAAAACCCCCCCACACACACACACACACACACACACACTAGCTGAAAGCTAGGGCCAGGAGACATCATGTACACCAGCGGTCCCCAACCACCGGGCCTCGGACCGGTATGCGAGTCGTTTGGTACCGGGCCGCGAGAGTTGAGGCTCAGGTGTGAAATGTATAGTTTTCAGGGTTTTTAAATCTGTTTTCAGCGTTATTTTGTTATCGTTTACTCTGTTTTCCTGGGTCTTCTCACGTGTGTTATGAATAAACCTTTTTTTCGGTAACGGTACTAGTTTTATTTTGTTGTATTTATCCGCGACACCTTAAAGGCCGGTCCATGAAAATATTGTTGGGCATAAATTTCCCACGTGTGGGACTAATAAAGGTTATCTTATCTTATCTTAAAACCGGTCCGTGGCGTAAAAAAGGTTGGGGACCGCTGATGTACACGAGATAATTTGCCTGCTTGCATCTTACCTGGCAGTGTGAGGCAGATCAGACTTGCTAATAACAGTGTGACACACATGAAGACAACCAACAGAATGATCTGAACAAGAGGAAACACAAAACGGTTAACATTCAATATGAGCAGAGGCTTCAAAAGTGACAGGACTCTTGAGATGAGCACCCACCTTCATGGGGAAGTTGATGGGCCGGTGGTACGGCTGGAAACCAACGGGGCCACCCTGCTGCAGAATGGCCTGATGGGCAGCGTGAAGCCCTTCCCCGAGGCCCGGGATCCGGTTGTTGTTAACGCGACCAGGATGGTTATTTTGTTGGTTGTCATCTTCTTCATGGTCTCCCAGCAGGTAGGAGTGAAGATCACTGTGGGAGAGCCATTTGAGCAAATGCAGTCTTTTATTACAGTGTATGAGACTGAAGACAAAAACTAACACACACCATGGTCTCTTTGTATGTCTCGTTGTTTCATTTCTCCAAATTACCACAGCCAAAGGTCATCATAAAAAGTCAAATTGGTGCTTAAATGCTTCAGATTTAAATTGGCAGTGTGTGCGAGTGTGTGCATCTCCAGCCTACAGCACATATCCAGCTGTGAATGTCCAGGCGTGGATGAGGCGCTTGAGCCACTGGCGAGTGTGGCCCTGCTCCAACAGTGCTGGCAGAACCACCTGAAGCAGCAGCAGCTCCAACGACAGCTCACTGACCGGGGCGTCACTGCAGAGGAAGAACACAAACCAAACTCGTTTCACGTCACAATGTACACATCACGACCTTTGAGCAGTTCATTTTCTACAGATTTCCCATTTCCACAGTTTAAGTGCTTTAAAGACAAAGATAATGTGTATTTTAAATTATGTCAAGCGCTAGATCCCAAATCATGTTCTTGAAAATGTAACTGGATTATACGGTTTCTTTAATATAGTTAATCAAAATAGGAACTGTAGTTATAACTAAACTCTACAGTTTTCATCACAGACGTCTAACATAACATGAAAACTAGACACTGCTCCTCAATTCAGACCGACTCATTATCGTATCCATTATGATTAGACTACAGTCATTAAGATCATCACAGTACATTTTAAACGATGACCTGGATGACTGAGAACCTTCACAGACATTTAAAACAATGACATTTATCAGATCAAAAGCGTTATTGTAATAACATTTAGCTGTTAGAATATTTGGTATACAGAACAGAACATTGTTGACTGACTGCAAGTAGCACCCAGGGGTCTTTTTACAGTGACTTGGGAAAAAAAAACAAAAAAACAAAAACAAACGTAAACTCTGCAGTTTGGGGTCATCAATAGTTTTCAGAATTTCAAATGTTTACTCTGTACCTATAAAGCATGACATTGTAGGGAAGAAAGTTTGGGAACAGCAGCTTGATGATTCTTATAGGAAGCCAAAGCATCAGGAGAACAATGGAGCCAAACACCACCTGAAAATGTGCACACACACAGATATACATATGTAAGTCAACAACACCGTTAAATCATCAAATTTCAGAATGGATGATGGATCATTTAACAAAAAAAAAGAAAAAAAGAAAAAAGGGCATTCAAGTGTGCACAAATGTCTTATGAGAAAACATCTTATGACAGTTTGATTGCCGGGTCAGTTCAACCAAACATTAGGAGTGTTGAGATTAATGGATACAGTAAACAGATTTAAAAGTCAGGCATTCAACAGACTGACATTATTTTTGAGTTTAAAGTGTAAACTCTGAATCTCAGTTCCTGTGAGTCTCTTACTAATTTGTACAATTCCTACAGAGAGAAAAATGTCAGGACTACCATGTACAACACTGCCTGACATGTTTACACGACATTAGCAGCTTACAAAATGTGCTCCGATAACTAAGTGCCTGCTACGCCACACACTTTCCTAATATTTTAACAAGTTGATGTGTGCTAACAGTAAAAGAAGAGCAGCTCTCTATAAATGAAGTCATGTTGTGTGTCATAACCAGGTGTATGTGTCTATACACGTTCATTAAAAGTGTCATTAGAATTAATATGATGCTGTAGTAAGCAATGCCCGGTCTGCGTCATCTCAGTAAAAAGATTATCCTCTTTGAGGTAAAGCCAAGAAGTATGCCACAGCTTCATCGCTGCATTAGTTATGCTTTTCTGGAATAAACCTGTATGTGAAATAGTGGAAATAATCAACCTTGTATCGTTTTTTTTTTGTTTGTTTTTTTAAATTGCTACACTTCCTAAACCCTGAAAGGTTTGAAAACTTTGAATGGCTGGTTTATTTGTGCAGATCAAGAGAATATTTATTTCCATAAATGCAACGGAAATAAATCCAAATTTAATTTGCTCAAAGCACTGAGAAAAGAAACAATCTGCTAACTTGAATGAATTAGTCTGACAGGAATTGGGCTGAAATTGATCTAAAGAGCTGAACTGAATGCATCTGTGTGTGCATCAGAGCTGTGGCAGTAAAGAAAAGTGAATATTCAAAAACAGATGGAGAGAGACAGAGTTGCTTCTGATAAGTACAATGTCAACTGACAGAATAGACATGGGTTAAAAATAACACCTCTGATGTTGGCTATTTTTCCATGTAATCTGTGTGTTCAGAGGGGTGATGTTAAAAGCAAAATAACATATTATCCAACAAACAAGAGTCCACTCAACTTCACAGTATTAAGATGGCAGGGAGGCAGAAATCTCAAAAACTTAAAAAAAAAAAAAATTGTACAAAGTACTTTGTTTTCATTTCCCTACAGCAAATATTTATCTAGCCATTCCTATGCTTGTATATGCGCTCATACACATTTCTTCTTTTTTCAGAGACTAAATGTAAATCTGATTATTGTTCAATTCAATTTAAATAGCGCCAAATCACAACAACAGTCGCCTCAAGGCGCTTTATATTATAAAGCAGACCCTACAATAATACAGAGAAAAACCCAAGAATCATATGACCCGCTATAAGCAAGCACTTTGGCGACAGTGGGAAGGAAAAACTCCCTTTTAACAGGAAGAAACCTCCAGCAGAACCAGGCTCAGGAAGGGTGGGGCCATCTGCTGCGATTGGTTGGTGTTCAGTCACGCTTCAGGTTAAATGTAAACTGGAGAATGTTTGACTGACCACAGAGAGTATGAACCTCCGCAGGTGTCTATAGATGGGCAGGTGGATCATCTCTTGGACTGGGTTAAAGTCTGGATCGTTCAGGTTCCTCAAGAACCACAGCACACCTGGCCGGAGCACCTGCACACAGCATGAGGGAAATCTAATTTTTTCAGAAAACATTGTTTGAGAGTTTTCCATGTCACTGTCCGTAACAATCCACTTGCCTCTCTGAGCAAAAGGATGAAGGAGGCAAAGTAGAAGACGTAGACCATACCGACCAGCCAGTGGAGGAACATGGTGGTGCCAGGAGCAGAGTCAAAGCTCTGCTCCCTGTCCTTCAGAGTGGCATCAAACATCTCCTTCAATAGATGAAGACAAAGGTGTTTTAAATGTGACCAGCTATAAAGCAGTTTTTAGGAATTGTAGCATTCTGAGCATTTCACAATTTAACATTGTTTTTCCTTCTTGATCAAGTTGCTGCACATGCCGTCATTGTGATGCAATCAGTGTGTTTGGCTAGTCATTAAAAGCCAGCATGCGACTGTATCAACAGGATGAGCTGAGCTAACTCTGCATGTTTGTCTTACCAGTGAACAAATGTCGAGCCACCAGCCGCAAATAAGTGGGAACAAGCCTATCTCCATGGCAACCAGTAGGGACACCTGCAACATAGAAAACACTTGCAATTTAGCTTCCGTTTACAAGTAATCATAATTTCACTAATTATTGTTTCAGCTGAAAGCTTTGCTATTTAGACAAACAGAAAACAAAAACCAACACAGAGTGCTGCAGCGCTCTATTTTACCTTGACAACAATGTAGCAGACACCCAGCAGGCGTCTGGACCTCTGAAACTTCACTAATGAAGCCAGGGCCTAAAAGAGGGGCAGTTAAGGACTCACAGAAAGTTTGACAACCTGCACTTCTTAATCAGCACTATGAAACAAAGCCTCATCTGAGATACAAACAGCTTCAAGCTAAAGATGATCAATAGTTTCTCTTAAGGTTTTTTAGGACTGTGCTTAAAAGATGGCCTTAAGACCAAAAACCTCTCCAGATATTCACAGAAGTCCTACTGTAGCTAAATAATACCCCCCCCACCTCCCCATTTTGTGACATTTTAGGTCGCATATATCCAAAAATATACGACGTTCATCAGGATTTGTAGTTACCCTATAGTATGTAGAAGTTAGATTATATTCATCTTATAGGACAATACATTTGATGAGGATTTAAATAAGTGGATAAGTTAAGAACTTATAGCAAAAATATTTAATAAAAACTGGACAAATTGTCCTTGTAGCAAACATTACCAAGTGATAAATCAACTACACTCTTAGTGTGTAAGATTCAAATACTTGTATTAGGTCAAGGATACATGGCAGACAATAAGGACTCCAGCCAGGAGGATGTACCCCAGTATGGTGGTGATAAGGCCGTGAAAGTGTGAGGCTTTGAGCTACAACCAAACACAAGAAATTCCATTAGTGTAGGTCAAACTCATGGTACAGTACAGTGTTCTAAGTGTACACGTGTGTCCTAAGCACTTACATAGTCTTCAAAACCAAGTCCAACCACTGAGAAGTGACCAATGTGATATGGGCAAAATGCTAGAGAGAAATACAGAGGGTGTATTAGAAGTGAACCCATGACTCTCTCATAATGTACTCATCATAATCACATTACTCAAACATACTGGGACTCACCAAAGACCAGAATGAAGAGTGTGTTGAGAGACACCACCCAAAACACATGTTCCTATAGAGGACACACAACAGAACTCCAGCTTTCACTTTATGAAAAGGTTTATTTTGAAATTCAGTTAAACTATTATTTCAAACTTTTAAAAGCAACTGCTACAGATCAAGTCAGCTCCATCATCCTGAACACCTTCCAACAAGATCAGGTGGCTACGCATTATTCTGTATTATTTTTAGTGATTTTAAAGGCTTTAAAGTGGTTTGAAAAACAAACAATGAATCAATCATCAATCTACACTGAATGACTAATTTTGGCAGAGAACATTTTAAACAGTGCATAAAATAGTGTCAGAAATGTAAATATGAAAGAAAGATGTAGAATTACCAAGAAAACTAGGGAACCATCCAGCCCCAGCATCTAGAACATAGTACAAAGTACTCGTTAGAGTCACCATTTAACACATTCAGGTAGGGGTGCAACGATACACAAAATTCACGGTTCAGTTCGATTCTTTGGTGTCACGGTTCGATATTTTTTCCAATACAAAACAATGTTCATACCTTTTTAATTTGTCATTTATTAAATTTATAAATATATATTTTAACTCAAAAGTACAGTTTGTAAATTTAATCTTGCTGAAACAACAAAGTACCGTAATTGTCGGGCTATAAGCCGCTACTTTTTGCACAAGCTTTGAACCCTGCGGCTTTTAGTCAGGTGCGGCTTTTCTATGGATTGTCCATGAGCGGATTTGTTTTGTTTGTTCCGCTGTTGTACGGCACTACGTTGCCTGGCGGAAGGATCGGGGTTCAAGAGTGGTATGTTGGTCACATGTCCGTCCGCCAGGCAACGTAGTGGCGTACGTAGTGGCGTACGTAGTGGCGTACGTAGTGGCGTACGTAGTGGCCGTACGAGTAGCGCGAAAAACAAACTTCAAAGTAGCACTACGCGTTCAGCGGGAGGCGTGGATGATGAGCGGCGATAAACTTGCAAAAAGCAAGTTATGCTCAACTCCACCTTGGATTCTGACAGCGTGGAAAAGTGTGAAAACATCCACGATCACCAACGGATTTCGAAGGGCTGGACTGCTGCATGATGGAGAGGAGGACACCGCCACGGCCCTTCTGAGGGTGTTCGACTCTGACACTGACAATGAGGATTTCTTTGGTTTTGAAAGTGACAACGAAGGAGAGAAGGAGAGTGGATGACGAAGCCATCCTGAGCCTGTTCGTTTCCGACACTGGAGGAGAGGACTTTGGTGGTTTTAGTGCGCAGGAAGAAGAGAAAGATGGTGGTGAATGACTGACTTTTCTTCTTGTTAAAGCCGTGTCACTGCACCTGAGCCTAAAAGGTAGGCCGAATCTATTTTTCTGGTGTGCTGTAGGTTATTGTTATGTACTACATTTGTTACTCATTTATGAAGCACAGTACATGTTTTGTACTTGTAATTACCGGTACTTGTACATATACCTAAAAAGTTATGCAAATATGTACCCATAACTTGTTTTTCAAAATATTAATAAAAGTGATGTCTCCAAACAGCCGATCTCTTTCCTGACAATTCCCTTTGTGCATATTCTCTTACATATGATAAGTCAACATTGAAACACCTGCGGCTTTTAGTCAGGTGCGGCTAATGTATGTACAAAACAGGATTTTCCCCTGATTTTAGCTTGTGCGGCTAATATTCAGGTGCGCTCTGTAGTCCGGGAAATACGGTAATAAAAAATAAATCTATCTGATCGAGAAATCACTCATCTTTGGAAAAGAGAGTTTATTACAGAGAAATGGCTCTTTCCAAAATAAAAGCTATACTATACGCTTCTTCTGGGCTATATTCTCAGCAGCATATTAAACATATCAGGTCCCCATAAGGAGAATCATGTGCTAACGGCTGTCTAAATGACTCGGGTAAAGTTTGTAGCATGCGTGCTTGTTGTTTTTGTCTGCTTCCACTTGTCTTTGCACTAGGATGATGTCAGGCGTAAATGTGCAGTCATATTCTTGTGTTCCCACTAGTGCTGTCAGCGTTAATCTCGATTAAAATGACACTAACGCCATAACGCGGCAAATCTCCATTAACAAGTTATCGCGGACCACCCAGTGGGTGGGGGCTGGATGGCGTCACCACGTTAACGAGCTAACTGCGCTAACGCACTAGTTCCCACCAATGTAATTGAGCATTGCGTGGCACATCCGACATACTGTTTTACTTTTGTCCATGACGCGCTTACCTTCAGGGTCATGCTTCACATGAAAACCAAGATAGTTCCAAACGCCAGATCTGAATGAGGGTGGGGGAGGTTCAATTTCGGGTAGCGTTGAGGCAGTTGCCATGTTGCAACAGAGCTTAAGTTATGTCTTGCTAGCTTGCGCTGCGCTCAGTGGATCTGCACTCGACAGTGCAGCTAGGCGGAGTAGTCGAACACAGATCCACTGAGCGCTCAACACAGACAGCATCGTCAGAAGAAAAGTTGATAAAATAAATAAAAATTTTGTATTGTTCGATACATATGCGTACCAAACCAAAAGCACTGTATCGAATGGTTCAATATTGAGAGAGATTGACACACATACACACATACACACACACACACACACACACACATATACACATATACATATATACACATATCACATATACACAATACATATATACACATATAACACATACATATATACACATATACACACAACATATATACACATATACACACATATATACACATACACACATATATATACATATATATATATATATACATACATATATACATATATATAACTACATATATACATATATATATACATACATATATACATATATATATACATATACATATATATATACATACATATATACAATATATATATACATATATATACATACATACATATATAATACATACATACATACATATAACATACATACATACACACTACTAAAACAGCCCTTAACAGATGTAGTTTCAGTCACGTGGCTTTACGGAGCAGAAAACAGAAGAAGAATAGATTCCTACCCTCTCCCAGGTCAGCTCCTCTGCTGCTCGGTCCCACTCCAGTGCATTCCAGTTCAAATCTTCTGCAAAGGAGAACACAGACCAGAGAAACACTAAGAAACAACAACAGCAGCAGTGAACCCTCTTCCTTCCCTTATTACACAAGTACATAGTACTGAAGGGCTGGACTTTATCTTTAAAGTCATACCCAGACGCTTTTGGAAACCCCTCCAGTGTGCATCATCATGTGTAGTAAAGGTAATCCAGACACATCATGTATTAAAAATATGATGAAGATAAAAAGGTGGCTACGAGGCACTCAGGATACTGAACAGAATTCAGCTTGAGAAGTAGTAAAAGTGCCGACTTGTCCTCAAAGAGCAAACATGCAGCTGAAAAAGGAAACAGCCAATCATGTTGTTTCTCTGACACACATGTGGAGTAGAGGTTGGCACATCAAGTCCCCATTGTAGTTAACATGTAAACAAATACATTTTTTAAAAACTTTCCTAGTTTACTGTAACTCTAATGCAAATTAGCTTTGCATTTATTCAGTGCAGAGAGGCTGAATTTGCTGACACCCTCGATTTAGTGGTTACTGAAGCTGTGAGGATCTGTATCAGAAGTATAACCTGCAAAGAAAAAACAAAACAGAAACCCATTTGGAAGCTTTAGGGCAAAGACAAATATCTAAAGCTGGTTTTATTAGATCTAGTCTGCGGCTTTTATGTCCCTGTGACCACAAAAATCAATACTGAGGCTCTCTCCATTTATTTAGATAAGAGCTTACAAAAAACAACAACAATAAAACAAAAAAAATAACCCAAACCCAAAGGCCTTCCAAGGACTTTGTAAGACTTAGTACACGTCGTGCTGAAGGCTTTTCAAACATTACTGATTCAAAGCCACAAACGTCCAGAACCACTCATCTGTCAAGAAATAGTAACGGTGCCACAGCAGAACAGCAAGTGTTTAAAACAAACACATTAAAGATAACGTTCCGAAAAAAGCTCGCCTACCTTGTCCTCCATCATTGGCATCGGCAGCATCTTCATCCCTCCCTTCATCATCCTCTTCTTCCTCGTCATCATCCTCCCCTTCATCATCATCATCGTCCTCATCATCATCCAGTTCTGCCTCATCATGGTTGCCAGCTACATGCACGTTAGCAGGCGCCAGCCCATCTGGACCAAGCTCTGCAGGATTCTGGGCAGCTTCAGCATCTGCAGGATCCTGAGCATTGGCTGCAGCGTGACCGCCCACACCCTGTGAATATAATGAAAGACATGACAGTTCATTAATAAAACCTGCTAAAAGTTAATAAAGTAATTTTGTGCTTATGTAAGCTCAGTATTTGAAAAACAGAAAGTATTTTAATCAAACTCCTGTCTTGGGGTCACTATGGAGTTTATATCCACATTGTCCAGATGTGACCACTAATGTTTGGGATGCAAAATGAATTCACATAGGGCTGCTCGATTATGGCAAAAATGATAATCACGATTATTTTCACTGAAATTGAGATCACGATTATTTGACGATATTTATTTAACCCTTTAAGACCTACTATAGAACCAAGTCCACCAGAGCTTTTTTTTTTTTTTTACATGCTGTAGTGCCATTTGTGGGAGCATTTCAAGTTGCTATACATCAATACAACTGTTATAGCCCATATTTTAATAATATGTATGCATTAAGTCCATAGTAATTACATAAATTGCAAAAAAGTGCAATAAACTACAAAAAAAATTGAAAATCGCTTTTGTTTTGTTTACATATATTTCTACTTGGAGAAATTTAAGAGGTTTATCCCTCAAAACTTTAAATACAATAAAGTTGCAAAAAATAGTTTACAACAACAGGAAATTTATTTTGAGTGTCTTCATAGTTTTATTTTGGAGATACAGCAATTTTTATATACTGCAGGAAAAACAAAAAACAATCCTATGATGCAAATTTGCAAAGAAAACAGCATGTGCATCATTTCACTGTGGGAAGTGTTACGAACAGCTGATAGGAACGGCAAAGCGTGTTTCTGGAATATTATGTTTTTGTTCCTGCAAGCGCTTTTTATGCAATTTTTGCAAAGCTATATGTGGAACGAAACCGTGACCGAGGACAAGCTGATGGCATAAGATGTAAGTACAACTCCTCCGGTTTCATATGCAAAACAAATTATTGCGCTAGCTTACACGGTTCAGGTTCTACAGGGATTTAAAAATAGTTACGCAAAACGGAGCGTGCTGCTCTGACCGGCTTTAAAGGGTTAACAATGACTTTAAAAAATAATATAAAATAGTGTGCAACACCACTGAAGTTTTTTTTTTTTAAACTCTCTTTTCAACCAACGGCAGTCACTCTCCAAATAACTTCTGCTTAGCTTTCCGAGCTTCCCTCGGGTCCTCTTAATCAGCGGTCTCCAACCTTTTTTGCGCCACGGACCGGTTTATGCCCGACAATATTTTCACGGACCGGCCTTTAAGGTGTCGCGGATAAATGAGGGAGGGGCTAATAATCGGCTCAGTCATTTTTAATGATCGTTGAAAGCCCAGATCGTAATCGTGATTAAAATTCGATTAATTGAGCAGCCCTAATTCATCACTCCATCGTTATCACATTAAATATTCACAGGGAGCTTTGAACATCATTAACGGGCTACTGTGTTAGAATGAGACACATGTACAACCCGAAAACACAACACCTCTGGCCAAATCTGTCTGCTGCTGTCAGAGATTATAAAATGTATGATTTTAACTAGAAACTGTTTTGAGCGTTAACTAGCAAACTTTTACAGATATGAGTCTGTTGCTATGCCAACCATGTCAGAGTAATGGTAAACTGTAGCAGGAAGCTAACAGAATTTAGGAAGTCTTTATCAGCCCCACTCTTGCTCCGATTTAAAGAGGATGAAAAAATTAATTAAAACAAAAACAAACAAAACTCACCTGATTAGCTGGTGCAGGGCCGTTGGGCTGATTAGGGACCAGTGGGGGTTGATTTTGCTCTAACCACTGAGGAGCGCCTCCATGCACAATCTGCTCTCTGAGCCACACCAGGCTGATGAAGGCACATAGTGTGCATGTGACCACAAAACAGCCTTGGAGGCAGTCAGCAAGCAGGTTTTGCCTGTGAGAAGGAGACATGGCATCAATTTTCAAAAAACATTCAGATTATTTAAGTAACACTATTTCTGCCACTAATGAGATTTTGCAACCATTACAAAGAAACATTTGACCGTCACTGACGAGATATTGTGTTGTTGGGATTTTGGAGGACTGCAGAGCAGAATGTTTGCATTGGACAAAACCAGTTCCACATTTGCTGTCTGTTCATGGACATGTAGATGGACACATTTGGAGGATGAAAATTACACATAAGTTTGAAAACAAGCAAAGATGCAGCACTGTGAACAGAGAGGAAAAGAGCAGCACTGCACCACACAGCAGAGCTAATTAGCATGCACGCTACAAAGCAGAGAAAATGTCAGCGCCCACGAAGAGGTCATCACAAGCCAAAATAGGATTTTAGCTTGTGATGGCGCTTGGACCAACTGAGACTGATTTAGGGGATTTAGTGGAAAATATATTGGGGTTCAGAATCTGCACCTTAAAAATGTTGTTGACATCATTTAACGACTGAATCTTTGAATTTTAACAGACTGTCAGCAGCCTGCATTTAAAGAGCGACTTTATGAATGAGGAAAAGAAATAAAGTGTAAATCAGCTGGTTCTGGTGCAGTGGGAGGGAAGGAGTCTGAGATAAACTCAGAAGTAACAGTCTTTCTGGAACAGAAATTTATAGTTTCCCATGATCTCTGGGTTATTCAGAGTTGCTAGTGACAGTAGTTCAGCTTGATTGAGAGACAGAGGAGAAATAAAAGAAAAGGGTACGTTTTATGAACAACATTCAGGTCAAACTAATCCAAATGACGAAATGTGAAACATGCCATGCATTCTTCTGATAGGGCTGTGAGGAACATGAGAAGAACACAAAATAAATAAAAAGCGTTGGGACGCACTGATTTAAACAGCAACACTGTGCAAGCCATAAAGAAAGCAAAGTACACAACAGAACAAACGCAGCTTGACTTTGTGAGAGGAGGCACAAAACCAAAAGCAGACACTTACGTTGAAAGCATATCTAATGGCAGGGTAAGGAGAGAGCTCACAGAGCCGGTAAATAAACACTTGTAGATACGACCTGTTGGGAGAAACAGAATGAAAGCAAAATTGACGGGGAAAAAAAATAAATTAAAAAAAAAAAAAAAAAAAAGTAACCCCACACACAAAACCCCCAACATGGCGATCACT